TCGTGTCCAATCGAACCTAGCGAGAGGGTCCAGAACCGCCATCCGGCTAGACCCTCTATCATCATTGTCTTTTCGTTTTTGCAGGGCAGATTCCTGCCAGCGATAATCATGAGCCCGTTCCATGACTGGCTGACGTTCCACCTTGGTAAGCTCCACCAGCGGGTCCCCTTTTAGTCTCCTTAGTAGTCGGAGGTCCGTCCAAAGTTCTGCTCTACGGACACTTGGCAAAAATCCGTCCTCCGTCCTAGCCTCTAAGTATCGTTTCTCCGTGGGAACTTGGTCCGTTCGGCAGTCGAGACATACCCACCTCTTCTTGCTCCGGTACCTAATGCAACACCCGTGGAACCGGATCACACAGCATTGGCTACACTCTACCCATGAGGCAAAACTAGGCCTTCCAGGGTGTCAATCTCCCCGATCCGGTATCGTAGGCAAGGTGCAAAAGAAGCAGGTGTTCAAAAATGGGCTAAAAGGAGAGTCGGGGATAGATGAGTGGGACGAAGAACAGGGAAACGACGAAGGGGTAGTTGCCACTTCAGGGGAGATCGCCATCTTGTATTCCGATAGTTCCCTTGCGGAGAACGTGCACCTCCCCGTAGCGAGGCTCCGTTGAAGGTGAGGCAGGCTTCCACGGAATGAGCCGCTCGTTCGCTGAGCACTTCTTCAGCGGTTGGAGGCGAGTCAGTCCATTCGCATTTTCATTTTGCTTGGTAGGGCGATGGCGAATGTCGAAGTCGTAATCTTGCAGCCTCACTGCCCACCTTCCCAAAGTTCCCGTATAATCCGTGTTGTTTCGTAATGGCAACAACGGTTGATGATCCGTCACAAGCACGAACTCCTGACCGTGGAAATATCGTCGAAAATGTTGGATTCCCCACAACACCGCCAAACATTCGCCCTTGCACGCCTCGTAGTTCGATTGCGCCTGGCTCAGTGTCTTTGAGACGTACTCAATGACGTGCTCCTTTTCGTCCACTCCGTGCTGAGTCAGCACCGTCGATATTGCCTGCGGTTGTCAATTGGTGTGCAGAGCAAACGACCTTGTTGGATCCGGTCGTGCCAGGATGGGCGTTGTGGTCAAGGCCTTTTTGAGCGCCCGAAAAACTGCCTCGCATTCCGATGTCCAGACCAATTGTTCTTCCTTCTTCAACAAATTTGTCAGAGGCTTAGCGACGCAGGTAAAATCCTGGATGAATCGTTGATAGTAAGACGCCAGGCCTAGGAAGGCTCGAACTTGGGTAAGCGTGACCGGCGCTGGTGCCTCTTGTACGGCTGCTACCTTCCTTGGATCCGGCTTCAGGCCATCCACCGTGACGATGTAGCCCAACAAGGAAATTTCCAATAGAAAAAACTCGTTTTTCTCCAAGGCCACCTTGAACCCCCCGTCTTTCAGCGCATGCAAGACCCACTCGACGTGTTCCACATGGTACTCGTGTGTTTCATAAAAGACCAAGATATCATCCACATACACAATCACACAAAAAATTATCAGGGGCTGGGTCAAGCGGGTTTTGTTGACGAATTCCGTGAAGACCATATTCATGGCCCGTTGGAATGTCGTGGGGGCGTTACATATTCCCATGGGACATCTGATCAACTGCCACGTGCCTTCGAATAAGATGAAGGTCGTTTTAGGTCGATCTTCCGGTCGGACCGCAACATGGTGGAAACCGTGTCGGATATCGAACTTCGAGAAGACTCAGGCGGAACCGATGTCGTCCTAGAGGTCGCTGATACGGTGTAGCGGGTAGACGTCCTTGGTGATGATAGCGTTTAATTTTCGATAATCAAGATAAACAAGAACTGTCCCGTTTCGTTTCCGCACGAGCACCACAGGGAATGACCAAGGGCCAAGGGAGGGTTCCACCCATCCTAGACGCTCGAACTCCCGTACCCTATCCAAGGCGAATTGTCGCTCCTTTAATGAGTGTCGGTACGGTCGATAGTGTATCGGGGCGTGATCCCCGATATCAATCGCGTGATCCTGGATGCTTACAGCCTCGGGGTAAAGCCCGTATTACCACCAGAAGGAGGCATCGATATTCGTCAGGTACATGGGCGGGTAATTGGGTGTCGAGGCTTCCATTAGGAAGGGAGCCCGTCGATGTGACGGTTGGGACCCAGGCGGTTTCCTCCGGGGAGGTTCCGAACAAGGAGTTGTCGTTTTTTACCGAGAGTACGGTGGCTATGAGCTAACTATCCGCCAGGCTTATCGGTTCCCTCTTCGTTCTACTTTCGCCATCGAATTCGGCTTCGACCGAGGGTTCTACGGAAAATGCCTGCAGGAGTTCCCTCGGACCCCATGCATGTTCAGGGGTCCTGGGCTGAAACGCTACCCCCTCTTTCAAAAGCAAGGTGGCTTTGGCGTCTGTAAGTAGGGATCGCGGAGGCTTAAGGGACAGATCGCATAGCCCCCTTATTTCGGTAAATCTCTCCGGTAGGGGGTCCGTTCTGAGATACAGGGACGCAAGGGGTTCCGAGAAGTCGACTATTCACGATACCCTCAGCAAAGGCTCCCCTTTCACGGTAGAGGAGAACATTCGGCACCAGCTAGACTCGCTCCGGATATCTCAGTGGGTTCCCCCTGGTGAGGTGGGCGAAATCGGTCTTGAATTCTGATCGGATATTGGTCGGGTTCGTCCGAATCCTCAATTTCTATCGTGGACCTTTCTTCGCTCATCGGCAACCATCGAATCATGTTAATCCTACGGACCTCAGTGGAAAGGTGAGGGGATGGTTGCATGCGTATACGTACAACCAACCTCATTGGTATCGTTTGAGGTTTGGGGTGGGCCGACGTAAGCACCACCTTAGAGCTGTCAAAATGCATCATACGCCTGCACATCCAATACAATTGCGTCACACAGACAATGCACCCGCCCGACCCGTATAGGTACATTCGTAAGTCGCCCTTTACAATGAATGTTGTCCTCTGTAGTAGACACATACAACTCATCAGGACGGAGGGGCTGAACCTGTCCCTCCCGACCCAAGCTCTTCGTTAACCCCCAAGAGATGGCTACAACCGATGATCCAGAATCAAGGATGGAGGTCGAGGGACTTCCCCAGACCTCGCAGTCACACTCTACACTCTTCCGGGTAATTGGCTAGGGCCGAAGGGACACCTCGGGTTTCTCCGACGGTGGGTCTGCGGCTTGGATCATTCCGACCCGGTTTGCCTCGTGAATTTTTGAGGTCGTCGGTTGTGCCTCGGCCGCCGCCGGTTGATCATTTCTAATTAGTTTTCTGCCCCTTCGGCTTTCCTCAAACCGGCATCGGTTCTTTAGGTAGCGCTCAATCAGTTTTTCATTGGCTGCCTCTGAAATGGTCAGAAGGTAGGGGGTAGTCACAGGGATCCGTAGGTCCAAGGCTTTCATGGCGTCCAATACATCGATCTGGCCTTCCTTGTGTTCAAGACCTGGCATCGTGAGGTCTTCGAGCCCAGGTCTCCAAGGCTATGAATCCCCTGAGGCCACGGTCGCCGCGGTCATGACCGCGGCGACCGCGGGCAAAAACAGGCCACCGCGGCCGAGGGGGGAGGGGTGTGGGGAAGAGGGTTGCGGATTGGGGTTCCGTAACCCCACCCCACTCCCTTGAACAGAAAAAAGTTAAGAAAAAATATTTTCGGGGGGGGTGGTTTCTGGTGTGTGAAAAAAAAAAAAGAAAAAAATACTAAAATAAAAAAAAATCTAGGCTACCAGCCGGGCCGCCCGGGTCCCGGTGGCCAGCCCGTGCAAGGACTAGGGACGGTCCCAGCAAAAAAAAAAAACAATAAAAAAAATCCCCAAAAAAACTATGTTATGCAGAAAAATAAACTGAACAACTTTTGCCTCAGGGTCACATAGAMATTCTGCACCAAATTTAGAAAAAAAAATAAAATCTAAAAATATTTTTTTATTTTTTATTTTTTTAATTGTTTTTGGCCCGGCCGGGCAAGTGACCCCGGGCCACTCTGGTATGTTGAGATGTTGAAAGATGTTGAAAGAAAACATGGTGATTAACACATGTAGTCAACGAAATATCACAGATCAGTTCGACATACGAAACGAGTTCGACAGACGAAACAGCAAACGATGATAGTCATCTCAATTTCAAAAGATAGAGGTCGACTATCCTTACACGGTTCCTATTTATCAAAGTGAAACAGTACCGAAAGCATTGACCGGTGAAAGCACCGGGTTTGCCAAAAAATGGGGGTCCCGGGAAGTAGCCCAGGCCCTTGAAAACCACAACTCAAAGTAGCCCACTCAAGGGGTCCACAAATCCTACGGTTACCCTTCGAAAACTCAGGCCAACACGGGTTCACTGAAACAAAGACCAAAAAGAAATCAAACTAAAGAAAAGGACACAGACAGGCCCTGTCAGACTAACTGGTAACAACAACACTGCTCGTAGGACAAAACCAGCCACTGTCAGACTAACGATCACTGCCTGATATTTCCCATGCTATGTCAAGACAAAACAAATACAAAACCACAATCTACTAGCAGAGACAATTGGTAAAGAACCAGGCCCTGTCAGACTAACTGGTAACAGCAATACTGCTCGTAGGACAAAACCAGCCCCTGTCAGACTAACGATCACTGCCTGATATTTCCCATGCTATGTCAAGACAAAACAAATACAAAACCACAATCTACTAGCAGTTTCAGTACCCGGCACCTATTCTAACACAGAAAATCCACAGTCCATTTCCAAAACTCGTCCTTGCCAACTGCAAAAGCCCTGAGGACTCGTTCAAAAACTTCAACAGGAAAACCTTTGACTCTCAGTTCCCTCTTGACAGTCCGGACCTTCATCGGGATTTCAGATCGGATGGTGGTATTCTGATTAATCCGATGAAGGTAACTTTCGATGACAGCAGCCTTTTGCTGCTTGCTTCCCCAGGAAGAATAGGACTGCCCATTCTTGAAGGTTAGCTTCTCATTGGACCAGACGGATTCATCATTCTTTACCAATTGTACACATCCCAAGTACGGCGGAGAGTTCTGAGTTCGAACCTCGCATCCAAGGAAGGCAGGATCCCGTTTCCATCATCAGTACGCTTCAGAACCAAGTTCTGTGGATAACACTTCTCGAACTCTTCTAGGATCTTCTTCCACTGCTGGCCAGTCAGTGCTGCGGTAATCAGAATGACGTCATCAATCAATCTGATACCAAAGACTCTCTTCCGAAGAGAGCCGAGGCTATTCAAAAATTTGCACTCCGCGAAGGCGCAAAGAATACAAGCCAAAGGAGGGCTCGTACTCTTGCCCATCGGGATACCGATTACTTGTCTTGGCAGCACACCTGTTGCGTATGTGTAGGTATGCTTCAACTCCAGGCGCACGAACTTGACCAAGTCATCAAACTCAAGTTGTCTCCAGTGGTCTGATCCGGTGGTCTTCCCAAAGGAAGCCCCTCTGCCTCTCGTATTCACACGCACACATGTCTTTCCTTTGCTTCGGTAGTGATCAACAATCCATGACACTGCATCAATGATATCAGTGTGGGGGAGTCGGCTGAACATCTCCTTAATGTCATAGGAGGCCGACTCAACTACCCCTTTCTTGCCACGATCAATCTTGTTGTTTACACGAAGTAGACGAGCAGTAAGATAAGAGACAACTTGGAGATTGAAATGACTGTCAACAGGCAACTGAAACAGCAGATGGTTCAAACCCTTAGCAACCATACGCCCAGTCTTCACCATAGGTTCCTTGAACATGGGACAAATCGGCCTGAAGCGATTGGTATCCTTATGTTTGGGCAGTACATAGGATACCCCGAAACTGCCTTTGCCATCCCACCGCACAAACTTACTCAGACCATCCTCACGTACTTCTATCTTTACCTGAGCTAAAATACAACTCTCAGATTCCTGCACAATACGGTAACCAGAGCTTAGGACAAAGGTTTCCATCATTGCCTTCTGATAGACAGAAGAGCACATCACCAATGTTTCGCCGACATTTCGATCAAGAGGTGTAAGTACAAATCCCTTCAACTCCTCTTTCACCCCCTTCACGCCGTCAAGAGAAATCTTGTCAGCCACTTCCTCAATCTGCGTAAAACAGCGATGAAAATCCAAGCCACAAAGATCTGGTTGAGCTCCCTTCAGATTGTACCAATTCGAAAAACCACAAGCAACTTCCCGTTGCAATAGCTGTACACGATTCGAAACATCCGGACGAGGAATGTCATTAGCATTTGCCAATTCCTGGTGCTGCTGATTCCCATCACATAAACGGAAACAGACATGCCCATCCACTTTCGGATGGGTAGACCCTGCACAAACGCAGGTAGAGGACTCGCGAGCAGCATAGACTCGCTGATTGTGAAGAATGTGCTTGATCAAAGGGTTTTTTACCCAAACGATCCGCACCTTCTTCCGTGCCCGTATCCGGAAGCAATCAGGTAAATCACAACCCATGATGGCATTGTTAACTAACTTCCTCAACTCGCCTAACTTAATACGGTTATCAAACTTCACACGGATAACGAGATCAGCAGACATACTGAAACCAAACTTGTCACAGATCACTCGAGATAACAAGCGTCTTAAGTACTTCCTAGTGGATTTCTTACTGAAATCTTTAATTACGTTATACAGTTTCATCAACGATTTCAGTCCCCACACATAAAAATCAGAGATGCTCCTCGGGTTCTTCAAAATCCCAGTTAAGATGGCTTTTAAGACTTTGCCCTTCGGCTTCCACAAGCGCAGATATTCAAACACGAAAGTTCCACCCTCTTCGAAAGCTTTCTTGCATGAACGAAACAACAAAGTGCCCACATCGCGCTTAATCGTGGAATCCCCAAACTTCTTACGCAGCTTCTTCCAACCTCCCACCCAAGTATTTCCTCCGTTGGTCATGACCGTCAACTTTCGTTGACCACGTTCAAAATGTTCACTAAGTGCTATAGTCAGATTAAACACCCGATTCTCCTCCGTGCCGATAAGGAAAGATAGAGGTCTAATCGCTCGTTCATTTGAATTCCTCGACTTACGCTCCTTTTTGCCCCTCCTGTTCTTCTTCCTTCCCTTCTCGCTCATGCCACATCCCACGCTATTAAAAAACGGAGACCACTGCTTGATATACAACTCTTCAATTGTTAGCAGTTCACTAACAGTCGTGTGATATATCGGGAGCAGCACGTACTTTTCCAATCCAAAAGTACATATCCAACGGTGGAAATGGGAGCGTTTACCGCTTCTACACTTCGAGAGGTGTTCACGCCAACGTGTATCAACATAGCGCGAGGTCTTTCCTACGTACTCATGTTTGCAGAAAGGAGATACAGCAACATATACCACATTAGTCAATGAAAGAAAATCAATACCATGCATGGCACATAAACGTCGCCAAGAATCAACAAGCTTACCGTTCCACCTGATTTCCTTTCTAATACTCAGCACCACAACACATAGCCTGAGCAATTCTTCAGCTTCACGATCAATCGTCTTCGAAGTTCTTCTGTATCCCGTAACAAAGTCCACTATCCGCCAAATCTCGTCTGATCCGTAGACACATCAAGCATCTTGTTCCTCATCTTCGTCTTCGGCTGTAGTCGATTCATCATCAGGTTGGTCATCTGCTTGGGACAGGTCGATAGCTTTGATTTCACCAAAGTTAAGGCGAGTTCGATAGCTAGCGATATCAAAGATGGCGTCGACTTTGCCGTTGTATGCAACACCTTCATCCTTGCAGATACCTTGGAGTTCCAATGCACCAAGACTCCGGAGGTCTTCCATCTGTTGATTCCGGAAGCGCAGTTTCTCGATAGTGCTTGGTTGACCGAGTGTCTTCTTCAGCTTCTCAACGTAGGGTGATACCTTCGTCTTCAACTTCGCCTTGGTCAGAGTGACACGGCCAGGGGTACGGGCGGTCTTCTTCGTCGGATCAGTCCGACGCGGCGTACGCTTCGCCGGAGTCAGTAAAGGAGGGCTGCCTTCGAAGACCACCTCCGCACCCCCCTTCCTCTTCTCATGGATCGTCAATTTCTTGGTACGTGCTCGGATATCCTCGGTAGCACTTCCATTGCTATCATCATCCGAGTCTTCAGGTACTTGTACCGGCTGCTTCGATGTCCGAGTCTTACGGACAAAATCCAAAACTGGTCCAAAGTTTTGCTCCATGCGGTCAAAGAAGTTACCAGTCTTGATAGCAAGTTGGATCTCTAGCTTCTTGTCGATTTCTGCTTCTCGTTGCTCATCCCGCTGTTTCTTCTCATTGCGTCGTTGCTCCTTCTTAATCCGCGCCAACCTCTCAGTTTCCAAACGTTCTGCTTCAGCTCGGGCCTCAAGACGCACTCGTTCTTCTTCGGCTTTCCTTGCCTTTTCCGCCAGAACAAACTCCGAGACAGATGCAAGGCTTTTGTTCAATTCTTCAATCTTCAGTCGTAGCTCCTCAGACTCATGCTTCGTGACCTCACTCGTCACACCTTCACTCCTCCTTGAGGATGTCGATCTCCCCCGTTTCACATCGTACGACGTTGATGCTCTCGCGTCAGATGTCCGCCAGCGATTCGGACATTGATTAGCGTAATGACCTCGTTCATTACAACTAAAACAGCTTGGCAGTGATCGACCGTATTGGCGATCATCCCTCCGCTCGTCACGTCGGTCAAACCCATGGCGGTTACTTCGGTCTTCACTACTTGATCTCCTTCTTCCACCATCGTAGTCACGCCGGTCTCCCATTGTCGCAGTAGAATTCCAGCACGTAAGTCACACCAAGTGATTGTACATATCCAATTTCGAAATGCAGTAAAAGGACTTTGAGAATAAGAGACAGCAAGAAAAGAAAAGAAAAGAGGCAAACAGATGGATACCACGCTCACTCGATCTCAGTAATTCTTCCCCAAGAGAGTTGATGTGTGCCGTAAAAGATGTTGAAAGAAAACATGGTGATTAACACATGTAGTCAACGAAATATCACAGGTCAGTTAGACAGACGAAACGAGTTTGACAGACGAAACAGTTTGAGACAAATCGCAAACGAAGATAGTCATCTCAATTTCAAAAGATAGAGGTCGACTATCCTTACATGGTTCCTATTTATCAAAGTGAAACAGTACCGAAAGCACTGACCGGTGAAAGCACCGGGTTTCCCAAAAAATGGGGGTCCCGGGAAGTAGCCCAGGCCCTTGAAAACCACAACTCAAAGTAGCCCACTCAAGGGGTCTACAAATCCTACGGTTACCCTTCGAAAACTCAGGCCAACACGGGTTCACTGAAACGGAGACCAAAAACAAATCAAACTAAAGAAAAGGACACAGACAGGCCCTGTCAGACTAACTGGTAACAACTCTGGTAGCCTAGAAAAAAATAGGAAAAAAAAAAAATTGATTGATTGATTGATTGATTGATTGGTGAGGGAGGGGTCCTCCCTCCCCTCCCCCTGGCACACGCGCGCACACACACACACACACACACACACACACAAACACACACAAATGGCAAGCCCACGGGCGAGCGGGGGCGAAGGTGCGACAGCGGGCGGGCGCAAGTGGCGGTGTATATTTACATTTTCCATCGGGAGATTCATTCCATTTTGCTCCTACTCTTCGTGGGAGTACCATGAGCCCAGCCGCGAGATTGGAAACTTACCTGTTCTCTCTCTCTCTCTCTCTCTCTCTCTCACACACACACACACACACACACACACACACACACACACACAC